AATGTCAAATATTTCCAAAATTGAAAGCTATTTTCCACGCATTTTAAGGAATTTTTGAGGTTACGGGGCCCGGTGGAGAAAAGTATTGAGACCCTAGGGGATACATCTTAAGGTCTTATAATGCCGTTTAAAACCATATATGACCATCAAATGATGTCATAAATATCTGTGGTAGGCTTGAGTTCACAAAATCGGTGCAAGTTGCAGATTGGTAAATTGATCGATTTAATGCAAATTGGATGGTTCCACCCACCTAATTGGAATCCCGAAGGGTATTAGGGACCATCGTAAACATCTCAGCAATTTTTATTTCCGGGCGAAAAAAAGTCAAAAAATTCCAAAATTGAAGGGCTTTGTGTGAAATTTTGTGGTTACGGGGCCCGGTGGCAAAAAGTGTTGAGACTCTAGGGAATACATCTTAGGGTCATATAATGTTGTTTGGAACCATATATGACCATTAAATGATGTCATAAATGTCTGTGGTAGACTTGATTTCACAAAATCGGTGCAAGTTGCGGATTGGTAAATTTTTCGTTTTAAAGCAAATTTGAAGGTTCCACCCACCTAATTGGACTCCCGGAGGGTATTAGGAACCATGGTAAACATCTCGACCATTTTTATTTCCGGGCGAAAAAGTAAAAAAAATTCCAAAATTGAAGGTTATTATCCACGCTTTTTAAGAAATTTTTGAGGTTACGGGGCCCGGTGGCGAAAAGTGTAAAGACACTGAGGAATACATCTTAGGGTCATATAATGTCGTTTGGAACCATATGTGACCATTAAATGATATCTTAGATGTCTGTGGTAGGCTTGAGTGCACAAAATCGGTGCAAGTTGCGAATTGGTAAATTGATCGTTTTAAGGAAAATTGGATGGTTCCACCCACATAATTGGACTCCCAGAAGGTATTAGGGACCATGGTAAACATCTCGGCAATTTTTATTTCCGGGCAAAAAAAAGTCAAAAAATTCCAAAATTGAAAGCTATTATCCACCCTTTTTGAGGAATTTTTGAGGTTATTGGGGCAGGTGGCGAAAGGTGTTGAGAACCTAGGGGATACATATTAGGGTCATATAATGACGTTTGGAACCATATATGACCATCAAATGAAGTCATAAATGACTGTGGTAGGCTTGAGTTCACAAAATTGGTGCAAGTTGCGGATTGGTAAATTGATCTTTTTAAGGCAAATTGGATGGTTCCACCCACCTAATTTGACTCCCATAGGATATCAGGGACAATGGTAAACATATCAGCAATTTTTATTTCCGGGCAAAAAAAGCTCAAAAAATTCCAAAATTGAAGGCTTTTGAGGAATTTATGAGGTTACGGGGCCCGGTGGCGAAAAGTGTTGAGAGACTAGGGAATAAATTTTAGGGTCATATAATGTCATTTGGAACCATATATGACCATTAAATGATGTCATAAATGTTTGTGGTAGGCTTGAGTGCACAAGGTTCAAGTTGCGGATTGGTAAATTGTTCGTTTTAAGGCAAATTGGATGGTTCCACCCACTTAATTGGACTCCCGGAGGATACTAGGGACCATAGTAAACATCTCGGCGATTTTTCTTTCCGAGAAAAAAAGGTCAAAAATTCCAAAATTAAGGCTTATTCACGCTTTTTTGAGGAATTTTTGAGGTTAAAGGGCCCGGTGGCGAAAAGTGTTGAGACTCTAGGGAATACATCTTAGGGTCATATAATGTCGTTTGGAACCATATATGACCATTAAATGATGTCATAAATGTCTGTGGTAGGCTTGAGTTCACAAAATCGGTGCAAGTTGCGGATTGGAAAATTGATCGTTTTAAGGCAAATTGAGTGGTTCCACCCACCTCATTGGACTCCCGGAGGGTATTAGGTACCATGGTAAACGTCTCGAAAATTTTAATTTCCAGGCGAAAAAAAGTAAAAAAATTCAAAAATTGAAGGCTATTATCCACGCTTTTTGAGGAATTTTTGAGGTTACGGGGCCTGGTTGCGAAAAGTGTTGAGACACTAGGGAAAACATCTTAGGGTCATATAATGTCGTTTGGAACCATACATAACCATTAAATGATGTCATAAATGTCTGTGGTAGGCTTCAGTGCACAAAATCGGTGCAGGTTGTGGATTGGTAAATTGATCGTTTTAAGACAAATTGGATGGTTCCACCCACTTAATTGGACTCCCGGAGGGTATTAGGGACCATGGTAAACATCTCGAAAATTTTTATTTGAGGGCAAAAAAATTCAAAAAATTCCAAAATTGAAGGGTATTATCCATCCTTTTTGAGGAATTTTTTAGGTTATTGGGGCCGGTGGCGAAACGTGTTGAGACACTAGGGAAAACATCTTAGGGTCATATAATGTCGTTTTGAACCATATATGACCATTAAATGATGTCATAAATGTCTGTGGTAGACTTGAGTTCACAAAATCGGTGCAAGTTGCGAAATGGAAATTGATCGTTTTAAGACAAATTGGATTGTTCCCCCCACCTAATTGGACCCCCGGAGTTTATTAGGGACCATGGTAAACATCTCGGTAACTTTTATTTCCGGACGAAAAAAAGTCTAAAAATTCCAAAATTGAAGGCTATTATCCACGCTTTTTGAGGAATTTTTGTGGTTACGGGGCCCGGTGACGAAAAGAGTTGAGACTCTAGGGAATACATCTTAAGGTCATATAATGTTGTTTGGAACCATATATGACCATTAAATGATGTCATAAATGCCTGTGGTAGGCTTGAGTGCACAAAATCGGTGCAAGTTGCGGATTGGTAAATTCATCGTTTTAAGACAAATTGGATGGTTCCACTAACCTAATTGGACTCCCGAAGAGTATTTGGAGTACTATGATTTTTGTTTATATTATAGGTTTGAAATCATCGTTAGGGTCTCTCGTTAGGGTCAATGTTGATTTTTTTTTTTTTTATGATTCTTATTTCTGATTTTTTGTGAAATATATGATGTTTTATGTGTTAGAAATTACCAAATGTTGATGGTCATGTTTGATTAATGTAAACTAAGTGAGACTTCAGGAACCAAAATCACTCAAACACATGTTTAGAAAAGAACCACAGGCTGCATAATTGATTCCACCATAGCACAACATCAAAACAAGCATCACATTAAGCATGACAGTAAACCGGAGCTCAACTGTAGAACTGAATTTCAAAAGAAAGCCCGCCTTGCCGAACCTTTCAAAAACCCACAACCAATTGAACCTGGATCAATAGCCCAATCCAAGCTACTATAGTCTAACTTACCTCCACCAAGCTGACCACAACATGTGTAGCACCTGCTGAGACAACCACTGCAGCTCAACCACTGATGCTATTAGCATGATGCCTACCCCTGCTGCCGCTACACCACCCAGAAGCAGAAAACAACAACCCCATCTACAGATTTAAACCCCAGTCTGCAGACCCAAAAAAAAAAAAAAAAAAAAAAAACCACCTGCTGCAGGTCATTAGACCACAACCAAAACCACAGGCTTCAGTTGAATCCACTGACTTGACCAGCAGCCCCCTGCATAGAGAAACCAACCCCCTTTGATATTTTTGCCCAGCAGTACACCTCTGAAACAGAAGGAGCAAGCAAGGCCCAAACAAAGTATGGACCTAACTCTCTACATTTCATGATTCTTTTGAGCACCCAACTGTAAATGCAAGGTGCCTTATTGTTCCACCAGTCTTCTCCATGGCACTTTAGGGGATTGAGGTCTTATGTGATTATACAGGGCTTTGATACTCCATTTGCAGATCCATTTGTTACATTTCATTCACAGCCCACAATAATTTGTTTTTAAAGTTCTAATTTGTTTGAAATTGAGGATCAATTAATCTTGATTAACGCTCTTGTAAGCTTTAATTCTTAGGCATCATGGTTATCATAACTAATCATGATCATGGTTATTTTTAGATGATGATTCTTGCCGAGGATGCTGCTGCTGATGATGATGATGATAGTGATGTATGATGATGATGATTTATGATGATGATGTATGGATTTTATGGCGGATACTTTTTATTTTCTTTTTTTAAATAAATGTTTTATGCGGATATATTTTATGCTTTATGCGGAAAATGGATCATATTATTTTCTGGAAATTGGATCAAATTATTTTATGGAAATCGGAACAAGTTGTTTCTTACAACTTTGCCTCTTTAACTTTGTCTCTAACTAAATAATAGGCTTCTCACGTTGAAGTGTTGAACACTAAACTTTTTCATTTTTTTTAGAAATAAAATACGGTATGTTAATTGGAGTGTTTAATAATGTAATGATAAAGATTCATAATCAATGGCGCAAAGTAAGTTTAGAATGAGCACTTAAGTAAAATTGTTTTTGAATGTGTGTTTGTATATGTCATTAACAATTAATAGTTTTCTATTCATAAAGAATTTTATTAGGCCCAAGTAGCTTGCCATTATAGTGCTTCAAAATAAATCAGGCCCATTTAGTGTTTATTAATGCTATAGCTATGATGTCTCAAATTCCCAAAATATAAGCTAATGTATTATGCACATTATATATTGTGGCATTTACATTTTACTACTTAACTGCGGTGCGAGGGTTAGACATGTGAGACACCCATAATGGGGGTGAAGACTTTGGCGAGAGGGTAGCAACAGTCATATTATAGTGTGTCGGACAAGCAAGCAGTGCAAGGCCCAACCGACAAGTTCGGGACCCCGTGAACAGCTGCCAAAGCCAACGATAAGGGACTGAGGGTTAGACATGTAAGACACCCTCTCGGGACTGAGGCTAGACCTGGAAAACGGGTCGTGTCGTGTTCGTGTTCAGGTCCATCATAAACGGGTTGAAGAACCCCAAACTCTGACACTCCCTGTTTACTAAACAGGTCATGGAGGCTAGAAACGAACACGACCTGTTTATTAAACTTGTAACACGAATTTAACACGTGTAACCCATTTAGATAAACGGGTAATGTTCGTGTTAAAAAATTTGACCTATATAATAAATGACCTGTTAAGTAAATATAACCTGATTATCAAAAAAAAAAACCTGATTATCTCAATTAACCCACAAAAATAGGCTCACTTGGCCCAAATATTATCAACATTACCAAACCAACCATAGTAGTCATGTTTGCCCAAAAGGCCAAAATAATACAAACCAGAAATTAAAGTTTGCCCAAAATATTAATTGTTCAAAATATTACATGTCACTTAATTGTTCAAAAAAACCCAAAATTTTCATTCCATAATCTGATTTGTGACGACAAGATTGACAACTTCCACTTGAATTCCAAATTTCATATGCCACCAATTCAAGCCACCTCCTCTTGCAAGGGTACCTAACAAAACAAATTACAAGTTAAATAATAATAAATAAAGAATGAAAAAACAGCAAGTAATAATGAACATGATTTATAAATAATAACAAAAAAAAGGTATGAGATTGATCACCTAATCAAGAACATTAACAGCAGGTTTGGAAGTTGAACAAGGAGTGCTCCCACTTCCACTAGCCGAAACAGGACTTGGTGTAGTGCTTGGACATGAAGTGTCATCAATATCAAGCTTTAAATTCATGATGTTGTCACATATATCCTCCACCCCAACAATCTCATTAGCTAATAGAAGGATAAACAAGAATAAGGCTATTGAAATTATAACTAATACTGTAATAATTTTATTTATAAATAAATAACAAGTTTAAAAAATCACCTTCCTTCCCATACAACCAATCTCTTAGACATATCAATGCTTCCACAACAGATGGCTTTAAAGAGCTCCTAATAGGGTCTAAAACCCTCCCACCAATACCAAATGCAGATTCTGAAGCGACAGTTGAAATAGGCATACAAAGGATATCTCTAGCCATAAGAGAAAGAACGGGGAAGCGAAATTGACTTGATTTCCAAAAATCAAGGATGTCCAATTCATTGACACGAGGAATTAAAGGCTCCTCCAAGAATACTTCAAGTTCAGATTTTGGAGTACTAGCAAATTCCCCTCCAGAGAAATCATCAAAGTCCTAATTAATCATATTTACAATAAGTAAAAAATAATTCTAATAAATAATAATCATAGTAATAATAATTAATAATAAACAAAAAAGTAAATAGGCAATATACCTTCATGAAGCCATCAGCAGGAACAAAGTTCACACCACCATGATTAGTTTTAGAAGGTGTGGATGATCCACCATTTGATTGAGTTGAAGAAGTAACATATGAATTAAACAACTCAAATAACTTGTCTTTCAAGCATGACACCTCAAAAAAGGCATTTGAATCATATACTTTGGCATATACAAAACTCACCAACTAAAATTTGTATCGAGGATCCATAACTGCAGCAATAGCCATAATGGGAGAGAATTCAGACCAATATTTCTTAAACTTACCCCACATTCTCAATGCCATCTTTCTAACAAAAGAATCAAAACTTTCCATTTCATCTTTCAACAACAATCTTACCTTCATAACATTAGGAAAGTAGAGATTTGCAGTAGGGTATTTTGAACCAGAAAAAGCACAAGTAACATCATAAAAATTTTCAAAAACTTGAAAATTTTCTCAAGCCTAGACCACTCCTCATTTGTTGGACAATGCACATAGTTAGTATCAGTTTTCGGAAGATGAACAAAAGCCTTTCTGTAAAATATAGCACTCTCTAACATCATATAAGTAGAGTTCCATTGAGTTGGCACATCTTGCCTCAACCTCTTAGATGAACACAATAAAACATAAGCAATGCAATCAAGAAATCTTTGTTCCCTAGACTGTGAACCCTTGCAATATTTCAGAGTTTCTCTAACCTTACAAACAGCCTCATCAACCTCCTTATGTCCCTCTTGGACTACCAAATTCAGAATATGACAGCAACAACGAATATGAAAATATGCCCCATCACACAACAAATCAAGATTTCCTTTCAAACAATCAACAAACACATCATTTGCAGAAGCATTATCCAAAGTCATTGACATTATTTTTTTTCTCAATTCTCCACTCTTTTAGAAATGTGTAAATTTTTTCAGACATAGCAACACCAGTATGGGGTGGGGGCATTAAAGAGAAGTTTAAAATCCTTTTCTGTAAAGTCCAAGACTCATCAATATAGTGTGCAGTAAGTGATATATATCCATCAGTGGTAAGAGATGACCAACAATCAGATGTTAAAGAAATTCTACCAGAAACTTCATGCAAGGCAGCACCAAATCTTACTTTCTCCATATTGTAAAGTTTAATTATATCATTTTTTGTGGTGTTTCTAGAGAACAATTTCACATCAGGTTGCAAGTAAGAGAATACATTCCTAATCCCTTCATATTCAGCAAATTGAAATGGCAACCCATGCTTAAAAATAGCAGCAGCAAGAAAATCACGAAAAACTTCAGTATTAAAGGTAGGATTTCTAGTTTTCAGACCATCAACACTAGATTGCAAAAGCATTTGACCAATATCTCTACTATTTTTCTTCTAACAACTAGTAGAATGTCGAAGCTAATACATGAACATAAAACTAAAAAGTTAAATTATATAGATCTACATGCATGAAACAAATAAACACAAAATAAATTGAAAATCATACTAGAAAAATGAGAAATTACCTTAAGAATATGAAGTATGCCAGATTATTTGAATGATCTACAAAACAAATATTAAAATAAATTAGATGAAAAAGCAAAAAAATAATACAATAATATATAAACAATGAAATGTCTCAAATGAAGAACAAAAATAAAAATAAATGAATTGAAGGTGATGAAATGACGATGAACTCATGAGGAGATGAAGTGAGGAATTTACCTTGAGAAGTTGAGAGAGTGTGAGTGTGACACTGTGACGGCTGAGAAGAGAAAGAGACCAGAGAGTGAAATGTGAAAATAGTTAGGTTAATTTCATTTATATATGACGGCTGTAAGGAGAAATGAAGTTATGTTTATTTCATTTGGTGGGCCATTTTATGTTTTGGGCCATTTTATTGTATTCGTTTTTTTTAATATAAACAGGTAAACGGTAAACGGTAAACGGGTAAACAAGAACACGACCTGTTTATTAAGCGGGTTGGGTCGTGTTACTTTCGTGTTACAATTTTCAACACTAACCCGACCCATTTAAGTATTCGTGTCGTACGTGTCGTGTCGACCCGTTTAACTAAACGGGTCGAAAACCCTCAACACTAACCCGCTTTTTTCGTGTCCGGTTTATGTCGTGTTATCGTGTCGTGTCAGCTTTTGCCACCTCTAACTGAGGCTAGTTGATCACAAGGGATCCTCGAGCACCTATCCTCGACATTTGCCCAATCCGAGTCTCGCCAATAGCATTTGAAAGCAGAATATCTAAAAGCTGTGTGAAGGATGTTCCAAACTCTGCTAGATTGTCTCCCCAATAGCATTTGAAAGCAGAATATCTAAAAGATGAGCTACTGAATTATTTTCCTGATAATTATATTTGATGACCAAAATATATTGTTTTGTTCATCTAGGGCATGAAGATTACTATCCTCGGAAACTTTGAGCACCCCAAAAGAAGTATTGCGTAGGGTCCCTCTATGAGAGTGGGGTTTCCTTAGGCGTGGGGTCCCTCTATAAGCGTGGGGTTTCCGTGGGCGTTGGCCCCGCCCCTATATAAGCGTGGTGTCCCTCGGGCATGGGGTCCTCCCTAAGGCGTGGGGCTTATTAGTTGGGCGTGAGGTCGGTTAGTTGGGTGTGGGGTTGGTTTGTTGGCGTGGGGTTGGTCCTAGGGCATGGGGTTGGTTCGCTTAGGGTTTCTCCTTGGGTGTGGGGTTTCAAGATAGGCGTGGGGTTTCTTCCTTGAGAGTGGGGTCCCTCTTTAAGCGTGGGTTTTGAGCTTAGGCATGGGGTTTCAGGATGGGTATAGGGTTGATACATTAGGCGTGGGGTATCAGGATGGGCGTGGGGTTATTCCTTTGGCGTGGGGTTTGAGTTTAGGCGTGGGGTCCCTCTTAGGCGTGGGGCTCTTCCTTGGGCGTGGGGTTTGAGTAACGGCGTGGGGTTTCTTCCTAGGGCGTGGGGTACGAGATTAGGCGTGGGGTTGGAGTTTAGGCGTGGGTTTTCATCTTGGGCGTGGGGTTTGAGCTTGGGCGTGGGGTTTGACCTTGGGCGTGAAGTTTCTTCATTGGGCGTGGGGTTTGACCTTGGGCGTGGCGTTTCTTCATTGGGCGTGGGGTTTATTTCTAGGGCGTAGGGTTCTTCATTGGGCGTGGGGTTGATACAGTAGGCGTGGGGTTTGAGTTTTGGGCGTAGGGTTGATACAGTAGGCATAGGGTTTCTCCTACGGCGTGGGGTTTCACGATGGGCGTGGGGTTCTTCCTTGGGCGTGGGGTTTGAGCTTCGGCGTGGGGTTTGAGTTTTGGGCATAGGGTTGATACATTAGGCGTGGGGTTTCATGATGGGCGTGGGGATCTTCCTTGGGAGTGGGGTTTGAACTTCGGCGTGGGGTTTCTCCTAGGGCGTGGGGTTTGACCTTGGGCATGGAGTTTCTTCATTGGGCGTGGGGTTTCTTTCTAGGGCATGGGGTTCTTCATTGGGCGTGGTGTTGATACAGTAGGCGTGGGGTTTGAGTTTTGGGCGTAGGGATGATACAATAGGCGTGGGGTTTCATGATGGGCGTGGGGTTCTTCCTTGGGCGTGGGGTTTGAGCTTCGGCGTGGGGTTTTCTCCTAGGGCGTGGGGTTTCATGATGGGCGTGGGTTTCTTCCTTGGGCGTGGGGTTTCTCCTAGGGCGTAGGGTTTCTTCCTTGGGCGTGGGCAAGGGGTCGTGTGGGAATGCGCCGCCTGGTTGAAAAGTCAGTGGCGCGAAACTATCGTGTGCTGGATTATGACTGAACTCCTCTAAGTCAAAATCCGGGCCAGAAGCGACGCATGTGCCCACCGCCCGATGCCGTCCTACAGTAGGGGTTTCGGCACGTGTCGTAGTCTAAGATCGAGCACTGGATACCGAGATTCACCCCTATGTCACTTTGATTCGTCCTTCCCCCCACCTTATTCCCTAAAAACACCTATATTATAGAAAACGAGGTTAGCGATGCATCTCGTATGTTAAAAAGGCTAAGTACGGGATTAAGAGGTGTCACAAAGCCTAAGTCTTGGGATGTTGAATGGTACAAGTGGGCAAGGGGCCGTGTGGCATGTGCATAAGACATGTGCACCCAAGGACAAGGCATACCGGGTTTCGAGCACTATTTACGACTCCCAAGGCCCTTAAGACATGAACTTTAAGGATGAATTAGATGGTTTCGGACACTGTTTATGACTCCCAAGGGCCTTTGGGAACCCAAGGAAATACTTAGATGCATAATCTCGCCGGTTGAAAAAATGATATACGGAAGCCAAATATGAAGCCTATAAAACACGAAATCGGAACAATTTAGGATGTGTCGGGATTTGGTGTGGGAATTTCACGGAACATTACGGGATGCATCCCGGGGACAAAAAATATTATTTCGACCCATATATGACCATTATTCGACTACGTACAAGCCCCGTGAAAGCTTATAGCCAATATAGGAGTAGTGTACGAAAACGTGTAAATTGATCGTTATATGGCAAATTGGATGGTTCCAACCACCCAAATGGTCTCCCGGAGAGTATTAGGGACCATTGTAAACATCTCGGTAATTTTTATTTTCAGGCGTAAAAATGTCAAAATTTTCCAAAATTGAAAGCTATTATCCACGCTTTTTAAGGAATTTTTGAGGTTACGGGGCCCGGTGTCAAAAAGTGGTGAGACCCTAGGGGATACATTTTAGGGTCATATAATGCTGTTTGGAACCACATATAACCATTAAATGATGTCATAAATGTCCGTGGTAGGCTTGAGTTCACAAAATCGGAGCAAAGTTTCAAATTTATAAATTGACCGTTTTAAGGCAAATTGGATGGTATAATTATAATTTCCGGAGGGTATTAGAGACCATAGTAAACATCTCGGCAAGTATAATTTCCGGGCAAAAAAAGGTCATAAAATTCCAAAATTGAAGGCTAAATCCACGTTTTTTGAGGAATTTTTGAGGTTACGGGGCCCAGTGGCGAAAAGTGTTGAGACTCTAGGGAATACATCTTAGGGTCATATAATGTCGTTTAGAACCATATATAACCATTAAATGATGTCATAAATATTTGTGGTACGCTTGAGTTCACAAAATCGGTGCAAGTTGCAGATTGGTAAATTGATCGTTTTAATGCAAATTGGATGGTTCCACCCACCTAATTATACTCCCGGAGGGTATAAGAGACCATGGTAAACACCTGGGCAATTTTTATTTCCGGGCAAAAAAAAAGGTCAAAAATTCCAAAATTGAAGGCTATTATCTACGCTTTTTGAGGAATTTTTTTTGTTACGGGGCCTGGTGGCGAAAAGTGTTGAGACTCTAGGGAATACATCTTAGGGTCATATTATGTCGTTTAGAGCCATATATGACCATTAAATGATGTCATAAATTTCTGTGGTAGGCTTAAGTTCACAAAATCAGTGCAAGTTGCAGAATGGTAAATCGATCGTTTTAAGACAAATTGGATGGTTCCACCACCTAATTGGACTCCCGGAGGATATTAGGGACCATGGTAAACATCTCGGCAATTTTTTTTTCGGACGAAAAAAAGTCTAAATTCCAAAATTGAAGGCTATTATCAACGCTTTTTGAGAAATTTTTGAAGTTAATGGGCCCGGTGGCGAAAAGTTTAAGACCTTAGGGGATACGTCTTAGGGTATTATAATTCCGTTTGGAACCATATATGACTATTTAATGATGTCATAAATGTCTGTGGTAGACTTGAGTTCACAAAATCAGTGCAAGTTGCGGATTGGTAAATTGATCGTTTTTACGCAAATTGGATGGTTCCATCCACCTAATTGGACCCCTCGGAGGATATTAGGGACCATGGTAAACATCTCGGCAATTCTTATTTCCGGGCGAAAAAAAGTTAAAAAATTCCAATATTGAAGGCTGAGAATCTACGCTTTTTGAGAAATTTTTGTGGTTACGGGGCCCAATGGCGAAAAGTGTTGAGAATCTAGGGAATACATCTTAGGGTCATATAATGTTGTTTGGAACCATACATGACCATTAAATGATGTCATAAATGTCTGTGGTAGGCTTGATTTCAAAAAATCGGTGCAAGTTGCGGATTGATAAATTGATCGTTTTAAAGCAATTGGATGGTGCCACCAACCTAATTGAACTCCCGGAGGGTATTAAGGACCATGGTAAATATCTCGGAAATTTTTATTTCCGGAAGAAAAAAGGTCAAAAAATTCTAAAATAGAAGGCTATTATTCACGCTTTTTGAAAAAAATTTGAGGTTAATGGGCCCGGTGGAGAAATGTGTTAAGACCATAGGGGATACATCTTAGGGTCTTATAATGACGTTTGGAACCATATATTACAATTATATGATGTCTTAAATGTCCGTGGTAGGCTTGAGTTCACAAAATCGTTGAGAGTTGCAAATTGGTAAATTGATCGTTTTAAGGCAAATTGGATGGTTCCATCCACTCAATTGGACTCCTGGAGGATATAAGGGACCATAGTAAACATCTGGGCGATTTTTATTTCCGGGCAAAAAAAGGTCAAAAAATACCAAAATTGAAGGCTATATTATCCACGATTTTTGGGGAATTTTTTAGGTTACGGGGCCCGGTGGCGAAAAGAGTTGAGACTTTAGGAAATACATCTTAGGGTCATATAATGTCGTTTGGAACCATATATGACCATTAAATGATGTCATAAATGTCTATGGTAGGCTTGAGTTTACAAAATCGGTGTAAATTGCGGAATGGTAAATTGATCGTTTTAAGGCAAATTAGATGGTTCCACCCACCTAATTGGACTCTCGGAGGGTAATAGGGACCATGGTAAACATCT